GGACAATTTCAATTATCTGACTCCCCAATCTAAGGGTTTTTTTTTTTTTTAAAAAATCACCCTTTTGATAACACCATTTTCTTTTTTTTTAACTTCTGTTTTCAAAAGGTTATTAAAAAAAAAAAAAAAAAAAAAAAAAACTTTTTTATTAATTATAATAATTGCGTGAGTTTTGTTTTGTTTTGTTAAGGGATGTTTCATTAGTACGGGGTTAAACGCCGCCGCCATCTTGTTTTTTTTTGAATATAAATAATACGAAATGGGGGAGAGGGCACACGTGAAAAGAAGAAAACCTGGTTTGTTTTTTTCCAACGTAAATTTTATCGATACGTTATAATAATAAAAATAAGTTATTTTATTGAATTATATAATTTATTATTATTATTATTATTGTCCCATTTTGAAAAAAATTTTTTTTTTTTTAGGTTTTTGTCTGTTTAGGGAAACAAGTAGTAAAGATTAAAATTAATTAATTTAAAAAAAAAAAAAAAACTAAAATACAAAATGGTGACTAATTTAAAAAAATTTAATATAGGGTTTTCATTGAGTACCTACCTACCCATACCAACCGTTAATGGTACTCAAGCCTATTTTTTTATTTTTTTTATTTTGATTAATCATGTTGCAACAACAACAACACAAACAACACAAAAGTTTTAAATTAAACGTTTTTTACCATAGAAATAATCATTGGCGCCATATTATTACGATATCCTCCTTTTTTTTTTTTTTTTTTTTTAAAACCACCATTAAAAAAAAAAAAATTATTTTTAACAACAACTAAAGAAACCAAGTGAAAATATCTAGATTTAAGATAATACAGACAAGGACAGTTTGTGTGTGTGTGTAAAATTTGTGGGAAGGATAATCCCTTGACTTTTAGTGACAAGACAGGTTGACATAATCCCGTAGGATCTTTTTACATTTCTGTCATATTATTCCAATTATCGATATTATGTCTCTGTCAGTAGGTAGAATCTCTCTCTCTCTCTGTCTCTCTCTGTCTTACTTGAATATCGAGTAATGGGGTTGATATTTTTTTTAAACATTATTTAAAATAATTTATGGCAATTATTTTTCTCATTACGACCACATTTTTATTAACTTTTAATATATTATAAATAAAAATAAAAACAAATAAACCACAAAAATAATAATAATAATTCAATGAAACTGGATACATAACAAATACCAAAAAATGTTTTAGTTTTAGTTTTTCTAAACCAAAACTATTTGACATACATAAATTTTTAAGTATTTATTTATTGATAAATGTATAGTGGAAGACGATGATGATGATAATAATACGAATATCAAATAACATTAAAATGTTAAATACGCCATTATGGTATTACAGACAAAAAAAAAAAAGGATTTTAATGGTTTTTAATTCTTCTGCTAAATCTTTTGTAAAATTTGTTTTTTTTTTTGTTGGAACACACATATATATACATTTTAAAATGTTTACACACACTCGATGATATTGAAAAATAATAATAATAATAATAATAATAATAGAATGTAGTAATGATAACCACCTTGAGACTAACTATAAAATTATGTTGTTGCAATCATCATCATCATCATTCATTTTGCAATTCATTCAATTACAACCAATAATACATTTAGTTAAAATATATTTTTGATTGTTTTTTTTTTCTTTTAAATTATTATTATTATTATTATTATTATTATTATCATCCTTGAATGTTTAAAATGTTATTTTTGCTAACAAATATATAAATAATTTCAATTCAAAAGTAATTTTTTTTTTTAAAAAAATTATGGAAACATTTCAAATATTGACTTAAGATGAAAAAAATCATTATTAATATTTTTATTATTTTTTTTTGTGTAAATGGTAGAAAATAATTTTAAAATTCACATCCACGTATTATCGTGACAAAATCATGGCTCCCCCCCTCCAACCTCCCCCCCCCAGCCTCCGCCTTTTTTACCGATAATAATAATCATTTTGACGTAATTTAATAAAAGATTGATGAAAGGAAATGAAAGGAAAGGAAGGAGGAACGACGAAGAGATGGGGGGCATATTATATAAGTTCTTGTAGCCCTCTACCCCTCCCCCCCTCCCCTCGCCTTTCAATCAATATAAAGAGTAAAATTTTCTTTCTTTTTAATATTCCATTCTCGTACCTGTTTTCTCCCTTGTGCGACACACACAAAAGTTTTGGATAATTTCATTTTTCCGTCATTCGATTTTCACCTACTTCCTCCCACTTTTATTCTAACCTAATATTAATTTTAAGTGTGTGTGTGTCGACCTTTGGAATGCTAACGAGGGAAAATTAATTTTGTTATAAAAAAAAAAATAATAATAATAATAATAAAAATGTTGTTTCTTCTTCAACTCTAATTCTGTTGCTTTATCATGTAGCCTTAAGGTAAATTATTTCCAATGAATTTTTTTCCATATTTGTAATGTAATTATTTTTTGTTAAATACAAGTTAAGACTATGGTACCCGCCCAATTTTACCATAGATGATTGTGATACACCATATAATCAATTTGTTTTCCTACATAAAAAAAAAACTGAATATAAAATCCATCCATTTCTTTCTTTTTTTCCTTCTTCTTGTACAATATCAATGTAATTTTTTTTTTTTTTTTAGCCCGTTATTTTCTCTGATCTTATATTATTAACAAAAAACACACACACACACACACACATCTTTGTGTGAAGAAGAATGTGATAATAAAAAAATATGACTCTAGTTTATTTTTTACTTTTTTTTTTTTTTACATGCACATATACAATGATAATTCAATATACTCCATAATTAATATGTCCTTCAGATTGTTTTTTTTTTTTTTTTATTTCCTCCTCTTAACAAGAAGCTTCTTTTTTAATAATAATAATAATAGTAATAATAGTAGAAAATTATCTTAATGGTTAATGGTGGAATGATGTATGTGAATGATTTTTATATATAATTGCTACCAATTGCCTTGTCAATAATTTACTTATTTTTCTCTTTTTTTTTAAAATTTGATTCAAAACCAACAAAATGTATAAAACTTTGTTTTAACTTTTATAAAAAATAAATTTAAAAATGTTTTGCAATTTTTTTTCTTTTTGCAGGGTTTTGAGATTCAACCAAAATAATTTTCAAATTTTGCAATCATCCATGTTTGTTCTACTCAAAAGTAAGTATACAAACATTATTATTTTTCAATCAATCATGAATTGAATGGAAGGAATAAAAAAAAAAGAAAAAGAAGGAAAAAGTTTATTGTGTGTGCAATGTAATAAAATTTCATTGTGGAGAGTATCCCTTTTGTAAAAGGTGGAGACATGGAGTACAATACACACACACACATACACACACCCTTTTAAAAAAGCATAACTTATTTTGAAAAAAGAAATAGAAAACAATCGTTTTAAAATGTTTAAACGTCGTCATCTTAAAATTATTTTAATATAAAAAAAAAACGCTTACCATATAATAAGTCTTGTTAATAATAATGCGAATTTATTTAAAAGTCATCATCATCATCATCATCATCATCATCATCATCGTTGCAGGGTGCTGTGTAAAATGGTTTCCTTTTTTTCTTTTTTCTTTTTTTTTGTTAAGTCAAAAATATTTTCTCGTTGAATAAAAAAAAAAAAATGTTTAAAGCAGGAGGAGTTGAATACAAGCACACACACGAAAAAAAATGGGGTATTTTCAATTTCATTAACTCCCAATTAAAAAAAAAATTTAAACGATTTGCATAATCGAAAATGGAGTTTTTTTCTTAAATCATTTTTACTTACAATAAAACAAACATATTTTTTAAAATAATCATTTTGAATCACTTCGTTTTCAATCAATTATTAATCGATTAAAACACGATCAAGTCGAAATAATTGCAAAGTAATAATAATGGCGTCTGTTTACAATTTTTTTGGCGGGAAAAATTTGAAGCATTTCGACAATTGTTTGTAGCTCTATGAAAACCGTTAAAAAAAAAAAGCGGACATTTTGTTATTTATTATAGAAAGCGTTGTGACGTTATTATTGTTTAAAAATGAAGAAAATACTTCCAAAGCGGTATTTATAATTTATTATTTTATTTTATTATTTAAATAATAATAATAATTTTGTTTAAATGTATATAAACGTAAATAAAAATGCAATTAATTATAATTTTAAAAAAAAAAAAAAAAAAATTAAGGTTAGTAAATTCAGGTATTAAATCTATGAATTAGATTAAATGAAATTACTTTTTTTTCTTTTTTTTTTTCTTTCGGTGAGCGTAAGAGAATTATGAGAGTTAAATTATAAAAACGTTCACAAAAAAAAAAAAAAATGAAAAAGAAATTTTCTCAACATTTCCCAAAGAATTTTTTTAACATTAACATTCCCACAGCTCTAAATAATGTAATGGCGTTAATGATGTCTTCCGTAAATAATTAGTGATCGAGTTATTAAACCACAAATCTGGGAATTTTTTGTTTTAAAAAAATGAATGATTTTTTTTTCTTTTTCTCAAAATAAACGCGATTTGAAATGTTTAAAATAAATAAATAAATAAATTTATAAATAAAATAATTTTTATTTTGTTTAAAAACAAACAAACAAACAATTTTTTAAATAAATAACAAACAATTTTTTTCTTATTTAAAATATTTTAACACAAACTAAAAAATTCATTATAACGCAATCAATCACATATATTTTACATATAAAAATAATTTTATATAATTTTTTAATTTGTATATATATATATATATATATATATATATATATAAATTTATAAAAATATATTTCTTCAAAATCTTATTTATGTATATATATATAAATTTTAAACACAAAGGAATGTATTATAAAAATAATAACATTATAACAAAATATTTACATTTAGATATACATTTAACAATTAATTACAATATCTATATTTATATATATTTAAAATATTAATTTAAAATTTGTGATGTTTTAATTTATTTCGAACGTCTTCTTCACCACGGGATTTTATATTTTTTCGTTGTGTTATACAAACAATCCATTAAATTTTTTGTATAAGTTTTCGGTTCGATTTCTTTTTTGGCTACTGAAAAGAAAAAAAAGGAAAAATAAAAAAAGAAAAGTACGGGTTAAAAACAATGGAAAATTTCTAATTAACACGCGTATTAAATTGATGACGTCATGAAAATTTTAATATACCGGTTAAAAATTGAAGTATCAAATCGTTGACGTG